CTTACGGACTGACTTTTTGAGTCACAGTCATATGTCAACTACTAGTCTAGTCACCTCCACTGGAATGGGTTGTGCGGTACAAAGTATGGCCATCTCATGGGTACCTAGGATGCAGGACAGTGGTAGAGGCAGTGTCTCATTAGAGGGAGTGCCTGAAAGCCTGTTATTGACAGCCATGTATGCGTTTATTAAATTATTTGAAGTGTGTGTTCATATTCATTCTTACCCTTTTATTCTCCAGGTTAAAGATTCCCAGGCTTTACGATTGTTGCTTATGGGTCATGATATTGAGTGTATTTACTGCTTTATCTCTCTTCTGGACATAATGTAATTGATTTACACCCCCCTGAAAGTGACAGATGAAAGTGTGAAAAACATCCTGAGCTGATCAGATCAGTGACGTTTATGCCACCCAAGATTCATTTAGCCTTTTCTGCTAGTCACTTCATCTTGTTGATTCCTTGAACTTGTGTTAACCAAAGCCTCTGAGTCTTTAGTTGCACTGGCCATGAAGCCAGCCCTCTTCCCACCTGACACACAATTGGATCTTTGTATTCAAGGTTAAGGTCCTTCATTTATATTGCTTGAATTTCATTTTTAAGGAAAAATGTGAATAAATAAAGCAAAAAAAACACCTCCCTGCCCTCTGGATGCTTACATTCCCTATTGATCTTACTTGGCATGTGGAAGTTCTGTAATAAATAATTGCTTAATTATTATGCAATTATTAATGGAAAAATCATTTTGTTATATTTTGACTTTGCAATTATCTGTTAAGTCTTTTCAGATTGACCATTAATATGTTATTCAACATTTTTACTCCCCACCTCATGGGCAATAGTCATTTGATCATGTGCCTTTAGATCCAATTTATGTTTCTATTTATATGTTATGTAATATGCCATATATTACATAATGCACCCAATGGAATCTGTGGCACCAATTAGTAATAAACACTAACATCTTCTGCAGCTAAAAATCAGACCAAATTTTGGTACCAAATGAATTTGGTCAAGTTTTGCTGCCAAAAAAATATCTGGTTTTCAAAGGATTATGAATAAGGGATAATCAACCTGTAATGCACAACATTTAGACCAATGTCTGATACATAGTAAGTCCTAGGCAAGTGTTATTGAAAACTATTGAAACAAATTGAAAACTTCCATTTTGGCACTGATTTATCATACTCCACTCAATTTGATAAAAAAAAAAAAAAAAAGTCCATTCAGGAGGAAGGGCCTAGGTCTTTCTTGGGATACATAGCTCCAAAACCATGATATAAGCCAAATTCCAATTTTTAAGGTTCAGAAATGCCACATGCCTTTTGCATTAATTATTTAACTCAAAAGAAAAATACCAACGCACATGGGAATTTAGAAAATCGGGGCTCCTGGGTGGCTCAGTCAGTTAAGCATCCAACTTCAGCTCAGGTCATGATTTCACAGTTTGTGGGTTTGAGCCCCGTGTCCGGCTCTGTGCTGATAGCTAGCTCAGAGCCTGGAGTCTATTTCAGACTCTGTATTTCCCTCTCTCTCTGATCCTCCCCTGCTCATGCTGTCTTTCTCTCTCTTTCTCTTAGAAATAAGTTTTTAAAAAACATTAAAAAATTAAATATATTAATTAAAAAAAAGAAGATCATCCATTGAGCCCATGTATTTAGAAATTTACAACTATTTTATCACCCAGAAACATCCATGCTGAATTCTGAGAATTTATGAAATAGAGCAGCAAAAAAATTAGAGAAATATTGGTGTGAGTTTTCACTCTCACTCAATGGCAGTGGCTAATTCCCCAGAGAATCTGAAGTCTTCTTCTAACAGTCTGCCTGACTTCTCAGTCAGTCTTACTGAGCAACACTAAAGATCAGCAATTCTGTGAGTTTCCTCAGCTTTGGTGGATTCAATAGGCTGTATTTATCTTGGAAATTTGAGCTCTAATATAGAAACAGAATTGATATTTTTGTTATTAAACTTTAAGATAAAATATAAAAAAGTAGCTTTGAAAGATAAAGTGTAGGAAATCCTTCATAAATTCGAAGATTGGAACTGCCCCTATTAAAGTTGGCTGAGTTAGTACATGCATCCTGGGTTTTCTTTTGAACCTTCCCTTTCTGGAACTGTCACTTTTCTTGCTCAGACTTGGCTAATATAGAACATTTGAAGTGAATATCTCTAATTTTGTAAAAGGCTTTGGGAGATCTAACGGCGCTCTTAAAAACCTCACTGTTTAAGCACTGTAACACCAAAATTATTGAGAGAAATGTCTGTTTTGTTCTTGGCAAATTTCCCTTTCATTATTTTCTGCAGCTCTGTAGAAATATTTCTCTTGGAACTGCTCATGGAGGTTTGTTCTTTGTCTTTTCTAGGACTGATAATTGTTCCAGAAGGTAAGAATACCTCTCAGCTGAGCCTTATAACTCACTGAGGAGCTCAGTAGACTGAGACCAAGCTTGCTAGAGCCCTTGGTCTTTGTTGTGCTCTCCCACACTAACCATGGATTCCAGTGACACAGCAGCCACAATAAGGGCATGAAAGGCCAATTTGTCAAAAGCGAACTTGGATCTCCTTCTTGCTCAACCATAGAGGTGAGCTCCTCTCCACAAGCCCACCTCCTGTCCCTCACACGTGGCCTTGGCCAACTTCAGAGTGGAGGTTTTAAGCAAAGGACACTATCCTCCCCTCCACCACCTGTGCCATCCTCTGGTAGCTGCTATCACCAGTTCCTTTGATCGTTTCTTTTTCTATCATTTCTGTCCAGCCTATTTCGGAGGTTGCTTCAGTTAGTCTTGCTACATTATTTCAGACCCTGACTCACAACCTATACCTGGGAAAATTTTTTTCTTTTTAAAGTTTGTATTGCGGTTGCCTGGATAGCTCAGTCAGTTAAGTGTCATACTCTCGATTTTGGCTCAGGTCACTAGCTCAGGCTTCATGAGATTAGGCCCTGCATTGGGCTCCATGATGACAGCAAGGAGCCTGCTTGGGATCCTCTCTTTCCTCCCCTCTCCCACTTGTATGCACATACTCTCTTTCTCTCAAAATAAATAAAGAAACTTAAAAAAAAATAAAGTTTCTGCTGCTGTAATGCCTTCAAATGTTAGTTGATCTGTTCTGGATCTCTGTCCCTTTTTATTTATTTATTTACTTACTACTAATTCAAGAGTAAGTTTCTTCTTTCTGATACACGTGAATCAATATCTACCATGTTTAAACTAACGTTATATGTCAATACATAATATATATTACATTGTTTTCTGTATATATATATAAATCAGTCTTAGCTTGGTCTTCCATAAAAAAATACCAGAGACTGCTGGCTTTATTTTTTTTTTAATTTTTAAATGTTTTTTAAAATTTATTTCTGAGAGAGAGAGGGGCAGCATGAGCAGGGCAAGTTCAGAGAGAGGGAGATACAGAATCTGAACCAGGCTCCAGGCTCTGAGCTAGCTATCAGCACAGAGCCTGACGTGGGGCTCTAACCCACAAATCGTGAGATCATGACCTGAGCCGAAATCAGATGTTTAACCGACTAAGCCACCTAGGTGCCCCCAGACTGATGGCTTTAAACATCATTTATTTTTTTCACTCTTCTAGAGGCTAGATGTTCATGATCAGTGTGCCAACGTGGTTGAGTTCTGGCAAGATCTTTCTCCCATCTTGTTACGTGCTCATGTGGAAGCAGAGAGTGAACAAGCTCTGTGGTGTGTGTATTTGCATGGGCACTAATCCAATCATGAAGGCCTGATTGTATCACCTAATTATCTCCCAAAGACCCCATCTCCTAATAACATCATGTTAGATTTTAGGACTTCAATGTGGAAATTTGGGGGAACACGCATTCAGTATGTTATTTGTTGGAGAAGCTCATGATTCTGGGTGCTTAGTCCTCTAGTCATATTTAAGACAAGCCTATGGTTTCATCTAAATTGAGAGTAAAGCTCTCAATATTTATATCAAGATGATAATTTTATCCTTTAAAATATAGTGAATAGACTTAAATATGTTTTGAGAAAGTACCGGTCTTGCTAGGTAAACAGAAAAAGGTCAAATATCAATTTTAAACCATTATAAGAAGTGCAGTACATAATAATAATCAGACTGGAGCGCTTGGGTGGCTCAGTCAGTTAAGCATCCAATTCTTGATTTCAGCTCAAGTCATGCTCTCATGGTTCGTGAGTTCAAGCAACACACATCGGGCTCCGTGCTATGACAGTGTGGAGCCTGTTTGCGATTCTCCCTCACTTCTTCTCTCCCTTCCCCAACCCCACTTGAGAGACAGAGGCCTGTCTCTCAAAATAAATAAACTTTAATAATACCAAAGGTAAATACAAAAACTCAAAAGTACCAAATATTACTTTGAACCAGTTTCAGTTTCTAATAATTCCCATAGGAAGTGCTCGTACGAGACTGGACATATGTGAAGCAGCTTTGTAAGGCGTGAGGCCTTTGAAATGCATTTTTATCATGTGCATCGTGCTGACTTCTGCCCCTCTGTTGTTACAATCCTTGGCCCAGATCTCATCCTCCGGGGCCAGGACACCAGATTAACAACAGTCTCCAATCGGGAGGACCTGAGGGGGTTCTGTAGGTGAGAGCTGCGGACTTCGGTGCCGTTCAGGAGCCGAGAGGTTGTGTCTGTAACCTCTTGTCACCTCTGGTTCCCACAGCCCACAGACAGGACATCTGAACACAGCACATTAGATTCCTCCAAACACTCATTCTGAAGTCCATCTGAGAGAAGCTTGCAACAGTTTCTGGAAGGGCAACTAGAAGACAATGGCATGCTTCGGAGAACGTGGGAGGGGAGGGAAGCTGGCCACCAGGGTGGTGCAAGCTAGAGAATAAAGCACCATCAACCTTTCCAGTCACACAGTACAAAAAGTTACTGAAAGCCTATAGAACCAAGGGGATGTTTGTTCTCTTAGCAAAATTTTGTGCTGTTTTGTCTGACAGAGCCGGGCAATCCCCCCTTTACTGAGATCTCTGTAACATTGTACTTACAAGTCCAAGCTGTGGAGTCACTGAACTTGGATTGAGTCTTGTCTCTCTCTGCCCCTTATCAGTTGTGTGGTCCTGGGCAATTTACTCAGCATCTCTGGGCTCCGTCATTTGTAAAGTAGGCTAAAAGGAATACCTATATAATATCGTTACAGTGAGCATTAAATCAGGTAATTCAGGAAAAACACCAAACCCAATATCTGACATAGAGTACCGTATTCAGTAACTATTAGATGTTCTTAATTTTATTCTGGCTGCTGTTAATTGTTTTTGTGTGAATTTGCATCCTGGCTCTGCCACTTAATCGCCGTGTGACTCTGGGCATGTTGCTTAGCTACTATGTCTTTGCTTCTGTTTTCTTATCTGTAAAATGGGGATAATATTATGTGTCTTGTGGGATTATGATGAGGATTAAATAAGTTTAATAGCTATAAAGCACTTGGAAGAGTGGCTCAAAAAAAGTGATATGTAAGTGCTTGTTAAATAATCAAATAACATTATTATCATTACATTAATCAAGTTAAAAAGAAATTTTCCTGGTATTTACCTAAAAAAATCCCAAACCAAGAATTGAAATTCTAATGAACTATGCTATTCAAGATCATGGAAACATCCAGTTAAGTATTCTTGAATTAAAAAAACAGGCTGGATAGTTTACAAATCTTAGAACTACTCTATTAATGAAGCATTTTATGTTTTCAAAACATGAAAATAGTGCATTTAATTTCTAGAAGTAAGATTTTCATAAATATTTACTAATGCCTTAAAACTTCCACTGCATGATGTTTGCAGGCAAACCTTCAGGCAGTCAAAAGATTTGTACCAGCAAAATCTAAAACAATAATAAAAAAGGACATTGGACTGTGAGAACTGACTACATATGCTGAAAACTGAACTATGTAAATTGATATTCAAGAAGTAAGGCCACAATATTCATGGATAAAAGCTATGTTCTTCACCATTGTGAACTGAGTGTAGAATGTAGGTTAACTGAGGGAACTTGAGCTCCTTCTGTGGCCAGGCAAGGACTGGCCAGCAGCTGGGATGTGGTTTGGGAGGTTGCTTAGGTATGATTCCTAGGGAAGGGGATCCTAGTCTTTCTTTGGGTCATATACTTTTTTGAGGATCTTCTATGGTCAGCGGACTATCTCTCCTGAACAATACTTTTTTTTTTTTTTTTTCATCCTTTTTTTTTTTCCCAGGGAGTTTCAAAGACTGCACACATCTCAGGTTGAGAACTCCTGATTGAATGCTTTGGAGAAAGCCTGGGCTCCATGCTTTCGAAGAGTTCAGAGCCTGGAATCAAGAAGTTGGACCCTTCTGGGATCTGTTTAATTTTTTCACTGTCCCTGTGGAAGTGGGGCAAGTCACTCTTCAATGGCAACATCCAAGCTTCCTCTATGGTGAACCAGTAGGTCCCTGGCAGTAGGGTGTATGCAAATAATATGTGTATCGAGATGGGAAACTACACCACCACTTCTGTGTACTTGATATGACCTGAGTTATATCATTTCGTCCTGTGGAGTAGAAATTTTTCCTTCTTTCCTTCCTCCCTCCCTCCCGTTCTTGCAGAGGAGAAAGTTGAAACTGAGAGAGGATAGATGGGCTGTCCGAAGTTAAACAGCTCACGCCAGTGCCTTACTTACTCTTTTTCCTACATAAGAGGAAGAGTAATTCTCTTATCTGTTCCTGGAAATATCCTTTGAAGATCTAATCCTATGTGAAAAAAGAACTTCCCATCAGTGGAATTTATTTTACTACCGTTAATAAAATCATTTTATTGTGAGGGATTATTGTCCTCTCTCTCTTTTGTATGTAGAATTTAATTCTTGCCACCTTTCATTCTCTTGGTGAGAAATAATAGCAATCCAAACTTGCATTTATTTGTTAACTTTCTTTTTAGGAATGCAGTGAATGTAACCCTTGACAATTCTAAAATTCTTCAGTAACTTGAAAATATGTTAAGAATGTTAAGTCAAATCATATCTCCCAAAGTGTTTTCTTTACTTTTCCTTTTAAAGATAATTTTATTTTATTTATGTTAAATCAGTTAGGCAGTTGATCAATTAACATATATGTTGAGTACCTACTGTGGGTAGGTAATATGCTGGTTTGACTGGTTGGATATGCTGTTTTTGTTTTGTTTTTAAGAATCCAAATTTATCTTATAATCAAATTTCTGATTGTCTTGAGTATTTATAAACAGCAAGACTCCAAATGCCAGGTATTCTAGGAATTGTATAAATTGGAAAAATAATAGCTAATAGTTGAGGACAGCCATGCTGGATGTTATCAGTTGGTTCTCTAGATCCATTTCTGCCCTTCTTTGCCCTGCCCTCCTCTCTGGAGTGCACGGGGGCAGGGAGAGGGCTAGAGTGCTGGTCTCTGCATACTGATTCTTCTAGCATCTCTTGCTGCTGTCTTCTGGTTGTGTTTGACCAGTAGTGAGACAACAGGATATCAGAGGGTGGGAGGTGAAAGTGCCCACTGTGTATATCCTCATCCTCTGGCTCCCTTGCCATGGTCTGGCAGGGATGAGCTCTTCTTCTGCTTCGCATCTGTTGGAGGTTGCCTCATTTGGAGCCCAAGCCTTCTCCAGGAGGTATACATCACATTGTGTGTCTGTAACATTGCTTTCACTCTTTGCCCTTGTCAGGCCTAGGGCTGGTACTGGCTTCCCACTGTTGCTAGTCCCTGGATGCTTTGCCATTCCTTATTGGTTCTTTTAGTTCTGCCCACACCCCTGTAAATAGTCCTTTATTTTGAATGTGCCATCTGTTTCCTTTAGCATCCTGACTGATACTGCCAATTAGTCTCTGCCAAGCACTACACTACGACTTCAACATGGATTAGCTCATATAATACGTACTCTCTCTATGTGGTAGGCCTTAATATTATTCTTATTTAAAAAAAAAAACTGATCAAAAAGAGATTTAAAGAGTAACTTGCTCAAGGGAGCACAGCTTGGAAGTAGTATGGCCAGTTTTCAAACCTCGGCAGACTGATTCTAGAGCCCACCCTCTTAACCATGCACTGTATGTCTCTGGTCAGGTTCTTTGGGATGTAGACTCTGAGATGAAGATTTCCAGGAAGGCAGAATTTTGGGGCATAAAGCTCTGAGGATCAACACTGGTAAGAAAGGGGTAAAGGAAGCAGGATTGGGGAGAAGAAGTTGAACCGTAGTGCAGGCACAACAAAATCATAAGCTGAGCCGGAGAGGAGCTTGGGAGCTGGGAAGGCTCCCAAATTGGTATAAACAGGCTGGGCGTTCATATCCTGGCACTGCCTAGTCATTCATTGCAAAGCCTAACCTTGGGCCCTCTTCAGCCAAAGTGAATCTAGAAGGAGACTCTGTTGAGAATATTGACTGCCAACATTTCCAGAAGCTGGGGGAATTAGGGACTAGTCTTGGAGGGTGGATCTGGGCAACACACCGTGGCATCCACTACATTATTTGAAACACATATGGACGTCATGAGTTGGCAGCTTGCTCAAATCATTTGTGATCTTTGAAAACTTTATTAGACTCATGTATATAGTTGTTTTTCCTAGCATATGTGTATGTGTGTGTGTGTATGATCATGGTGAATTGTTTGAAATTGTTGAAAAAACACTAAGTAGGAGTCAAGAGACCTGGATTCTAGTTACTCCTCTGCTGCTGCTCATCTACACGCCTTTGTTCAATTCACTTAATGCCTCTGGATTCTCTGGGATATAGAATTCTCTCCTTATTCATAAATTGAGGAACTTTGATTAGATTGTCTCTAAGTCTACTTACATTGTAAAGCTCTATGTTTTTGTTAATTTATTAGCTTTCTAAAATCCAGAAATAGCAAAAGTAAACATGTTGGAATGCTTTTAAGTAATGCTGGAGACTATTTCTTACAACATCCGGTTAGTGACTTTCTCAAGCTCTCTTAATAAATCATGATGAACTTTATGAACAATCACACAGCCCCAGTATCATCCAGTGTCCTCTGAAGGGCAGAGATGCCTCCTGTCTCCTCAGAATGGCTTTATTTGGTATATACAAGGTTTTAGAATACTAGACCCTTCTTTATTATTTTTGAGCATAGTTTATACAGATGTTTTATTTTAAGAATTGTTTTGAAATTGCTTTCACAGGGTAATTGTTATAATTTGAACAGACATGGTCTTAATTTGGATCGATATGTCTTGACCAAAGCAAGAAGGAAGGGAAAATAGCCTTAACTTGAGTTGGTGAAATAAAACTAATCCTCAAAGTATAGACAGACTAGAGAAACAAATAGGTAAACAAAGAAAAACTAGTAACAAAAAACACCAGGTATTGATGATAGAATTCCAAAAAACAAAAATATGTTGGATAAGTACTTGATATTGTACACTTTAGCTGAAACCAATGTGAATATATGTTAACAGAATAAAGGGTTAAATACTGACCTGAGTAAATATAGAAATCCTTTAAGATTGATTTTCCTGAGCTGTGGCAAACGATTCAATGAAAATGGAAAATAACTATTATTGTCAGTCATGTATGGCCTTGCTTGTATGATTTCCCAATGTAAGCCTTATGGTCGAAGCTGCTTGGACCATAAATAAATAAATAGACATACCTTCACTCTGGCTTCCTTACCTGACTCTCGTTAAATCCTATCAGCAACTGTAGAGGGCCAAAGTGGCAATTTCAATAAATATTTCATTACATCGGAGCCCGTTTGCTGGTGTTTCAAATAAATAAGTATATTTTCTCACTCAGTGGACACTAGAAGAGAAAACTCTCCAGTTTCCATTTTCAGACTTTCTTTTACTTTCTGAGGAGGTCAGTCATTTTCGTTTTCCAGTATATGACTCGATTATTTATTGGAAGAAAATGTTTTAAATCAGGAAAAGGAAAAAAAAAGCCTACCAAATAATTTATCGAAGACTGTCTCCTGGCAGATTAATCCCTACCACTTAGCCAGGGCTCATTCCACTGTGATCAGACTGGTCAAGCTTAAATTGTATGTCCACAACAAGTTGCATAAATAACCCCAAATACTGTGAACCTCTTTGCACTCGGTCATCTCCACGACCTTCAAAGAAAATGTCAGAAAGGGAGTAAGAAAAAATATAGCTTGAAATGCTCTAGTTATGGTATTTTCTAATAAATAAAACCCTTTTTTGGCTTCTTTCATCTAAACACATTTATCAGTTAAGACACATATACTTCTCAGTAAGTGAGTAGAAATGCTGCCTGTTTCCTTGTGGGAAACGTGGAAATACAGTAAACATATTTACAGTTGTGCTTCGGAGCTGTATTTAGAACCAGGGTTAACCGTCTTAGGTAATGTCCTTTTTTCTTCATTTGCCTTTACAGTATACTGTAGTCCATTTTAAATTGTCTCTTAATAAAGAGACTGTGTATGTGGAAATATTTGAAGAGATGGTTTCCTGGAAAGCTCCAGCTTCCATCCTGCTTATCCAAAGAGTGGGCCTTGAATGAAGCTACAGAGAGAAAGGGCTGTCCTAGTTAGGGATGGCCTGGTCTCTCTCTGCCCAGCAATTTCAGCTCAAACTGAAGTCCTATTCTCAGCCAAACTTTTTCCATCCTCAAGTTCTCAATTTTGGCTGGAGACATCACCAATATTTACATTTCCCAGACTAGAAATTACTATAAAGTTATCTTAATTCCTCTAATATCCTTTAGTTAATATATTATGTGCCCTTGATCCCCTCCTCCTCCTACCTTTGAAGTGAAAAGAGCACTGTGTTTAGAAAAGGGGACCTGAAATTGTTGTGTCCCTTCTCTGCCACTTACTAATATGGGACCTGACAAGATACTGAGAGTTTTAATGCCTTTCCCTGTGCAATGGGGATAGTACTGTCTGTTTTGCTGACATCACAAAGGTGTTTTCATGATGAAATGAGTTAGTGTAGATTATCCCAGTTTATTCGGTGGAGAGAGGCAGGGGTAACCTAATAAAATCGCTGCCTTCTTTCAGGGACTGGAACATAACACTGCTGCTCCCTGCACATCATCAACACCCATGCATTTGCCAAATTAGAAGGTTTAGGATGGTCATCTTGCTGTCACTTGCTGCAGATATCCAGCTCTGATCCTGAGGGGGAAGCCCTCCAGAAGATGCTCATCAAATTGCTTGCTCTTGCGCACCAAAGGAAAAGGCACATCCCATTCAGACCATTGCTGCTAAGTGGTCTTTCCAGGCTACAGCTGAATCTAGTTGTGCCAAAATATCTATAATTGTTCAAGAGACCACAGAGATTAAATTCTCCCTTCTTCACATCCCCACTTTCCTCAACTGCCTACTGCACATCTGCTTTTGGACACCCCAAAGGAACATCATACTTGATATACCTAAAACTGGGCTTGGTATTTCCTTCCCCTACACGGTTCCTCTTCAGTGTCTGCCATTTGAGTGATCCAGTGATCAAGCTACTACTCACTGCCTTGCCCAAGGCAGCAATCTGGGGTTGGTCTCCCTCTCATCAATATCAAATTAAACAGCAAAGCCTCTTGTGTCTATCTCCTACACAGTCTATTTCTATTCATTTTGTTCACCTTCATGGCCACCTACTCCATCCTAGGACATCATCATGCTTTATCTGAACTACTGCCACAGTTTCCTAAATTGCCCCCTACCTCTACTCATTCCTTACCTCTCTCAAGTCTAGCCCTAAATTTTAGCAGAGTTATTCTAAAATGCAAAGCTGACCATGTTAGGACCTTCCTTAAAATATTTTCAGTGACTTCCGATTGCCTTCAAGATGCTGACCAAATTCTATGAATCTTGTAAGGTCAAATTTCTGCTATTGTCTCCTGATTTCCTTTCCTCGCCCGTCCTATGTATGAACAGCTTATAAACCTGAGTAATTACTTTCAGTTCCCAGAACATGCCATGAGTGCCTTCATGACTTTGCATATGCTATTCCTCATCACGCGAATTGCTTTCCCTCTCTCTTTGCTTGGCCAATTCCCAGTCATTCCTTGGATTTCACTTTAGATGTTGCTTCTTTTGGAAAGCTTCCCCTGAGTCCTTAAGTTCTGAGAATACCCTGTACTTCTGTTATCATAGCACTTACCACATTTTTAGTACTGTTCCATTTACCCACCTATGTCCCCCAGTAACACACCACAAAGACAGGGATTCTGACTGGCTTATTCACCACTCTGTTCCTGGTACTCAGCTCAGTGTCCCACACAGAAAACTCTTAAGTGATTGTTGTATAGGTGGCTGAATAAGATAAATGACATCTTTGTTTATTTTCTTGGGAAAGCAGACTAATACGGTTAAAACAATTTCCACCAGATATCAGAGTCCCATAATCCAGTTCTACATCCCCTTGTTTGATTACAGATGTTGCAAAACCTCTCTATGAAAGGAAATAATGCTACCTGTCTTGAGTTATTTCAAGAATTTTTAAAAATAGTGGGAATTCACAAGAAAGCTCACTTTAAAATGTAGTTTCCTCTTAACAAGAATATGTCATTATTGGGGCGTCTGAGTGGCTCAGTCAGTTAAGTATCCGATTTTGGCTCATGTCATGATCTCATGGTTTGTGAGTTGGAACCCCGCGTCGGGCTCTGTGCTGAGAGCTCAGAGCCTGAAGCCTGCTTCAGATTCTGTGTCTGCCTCTCTTTCTGCACCTCCCGTGCTCACACCGTGTCTCTCCCTCTAAAAAATAAATAAACATTAAAAAAAATCATTATTATCACACTCATCATGTTTTCAGTGGCATGTGCCTGTCTATATTAACCATTTGGGGCCTAATATTTGAATTTAGTCCTTAAAAAAAATTCTGTACTGGGTGTATCAGTTAGCTATTGCTGCATAACATCCCTCTCCAAAAACTTAATGGATTTAAACAATAACTACTTATTTAGCTCCTCATTCTGTAGGTCGGTAGTTTAGATAATTTAGGTAGTTAGCTAGGTTAGCATGGGCTTGTTCACATGGTAGAGAGGCAGGGTTCCATGAGAGACCATAGAAGAACGTAAGAGCTCTTGAAGTTTAGTCTTGGAATTCGCACAGTACAAACTGATTGCATTTTATTAAATCAGGCAAGTCCCAAGCCAATCCCTATTAAATAGATAGGTAAATATTTAATTTCTTATGGGAACTCTTCCAAAGACATACAGAGGCATGGATACAGGGGCAGAAATAGTTGTGGCCATTTTGCAAACAATTGGCCATATTCTGTCAGTATCTTCATTTGATTATTTAGCCAATTACAAATCTGACCACGTTACTTTTGTATTTGAAATCATTTAGTGGTTCTGCATCGCCTATAAAATAAAGTCAAGCTCATAAAAAAGACCTCCATGAACTTCTCATGTTGGCCTTATCTGCCTGGTCTTTTATGCTTTAGGGACAGAACATTTCTTATAATTTTGACTAATCAAATGTGCTGTTTCTGACTGGCCTCTGTGGTTCATACTGCTACCCTCTTCCTTTCCTTGCCTGAATGATGTTACTCATCCTAACAATCAATGACATTAACAATACCACTTATTATATGTCAGCACTGACTGTTTTAAACACTACCCCTATGAGGGTGGTACTATTATTATCTCCTTACAGATAAGGAAACTGGGACACTGTGAAGTTAAGTAACTTGTCGACGTTCACTCAGTTCGAAGTCTGGTTTCAGAACCGGAGTCTAGAGTCTGTGAATTTAACCTCCAGGGTCTCCTTACCTCTTAAGATTCAGCTCAGGTTGGTCTGGTCTCATATGTATCTTGACATTTGCCACGTTTGATTATGTATTTCAATGTCTGATGCCCCTTTGAGTTGTGAGCATCTCAAGAGCCCAGATCATGCCTTACCTTCGATTGTAACTGGCAAATGTAACACCCAGTCATGTCTCTGTTGCCCTCTCCATACTAATCAAGATGCGTCTTTTGTACCATTAAAAATCTCTGCTTCTTGGAAGAAAAAAACCAGAGTGAAGACTATTAGTCCTCACAGCATCTCCAAGAAAGAAGTGACGAGTGGGAAGCTCTATCTCATTTTGCAAACAGGAAATTCAGGCATGTGGAGATGAAATCACCCAGTGCTGTGCCAGGATTCTTTTTTTGGTTTTCCGATTCCTAGTTTTGTGTTCTATCTACCAAAAAGTGGTATTTGTCTATGAAGTGCAGCTGATGGTTGCTTAATTTTCCCCAGAACAAAGTTAAAAAACATAACAATTAAATTAAATCACCCAAGAGGGATGCCTTCTTCCTTTGTAAAGTTTTGAGGGAACAAACTTTTGGGGAAACTTTCTTTTCCCTGGGGTATAGTGCTCTCTTCTCCCTCAACAGAATATATTGTGTCTGATGGAGCAAAAAATTGTTTTTAAGAAACCCTGCACCAATCTGTCTGCCCCACTCAGACACATGCTCACACAGAAAATTAAATTCACAGAAATGAGAGAAAATCAAGAGAACCAAAGGAGCATGTCTTCCGTTTCTCAGAATCATTCTCTATTGTTTTTAGTGGCCTGTTGGGTGACAAGGTGATGAGGGGAAAGGTTTGGTTGAATGCAGTGAATTTTTCATGTCCTTTTGCTTATTTCATCAAAGCATTGCAAGAAAGTAAGCAATATGCACATTTCACCTGTATGGCTTTAATCTGTAAGAAGCTTTATTAGAACTTAGTTAAAACATTTTTTTTTTCCAGCTTGAGTTTCATTACTATCTTTTGCTTCATTAACAGCAGTAAGTTCTTGGGTGTGAAGCTTCCTTGAAATGGTAACTACCGAGAGAAAGTGGGGGGAGAAGGAGAAATAAAAGAAGAAGCTTTAAGAATAGTGCCACTGAGACACATTCCTGGAAAAGAGAATCGGCCAGATGATCTCTGGCCATCTAACATAGTTTTCTTCTTCCAGCTTTTTGGCATTTGTCTTAAATCCTATTTCCTAAAGCATAATCTTTAAATCTCTGTATAATTAGCTCTCCTACACATATATTTTCATCATGCCTTAGGTGGAGATTTTATTGATGTAAACATGTGTTTTGTGAGACGAACAAAGAAAATAAGAGACAAACCAAAAAAACCAGACCTTTAACTCTAGAGAAGAAACTAATAGTTACCAGAGGGGAGGTGGGGAGGGGGATGAATGACACAAAACAAGACTTCCCAGTTTTACATCCTCCCCGGGTCCTATATCTCTCTGAACTTCATTAGCCAGTATAACCATGCATTTGAGTCTGGGTTGTAAGCTTTGTAAAAAGAGGGATTTTGGCATGTCTTGTAAACCATGCTCCTCAAAATGTTAGATGAGGATGATGATGATGATGACGATGCTTCAGATGCTAACCTTTCATTGTACTCTCTTTTCCTTGAAATAATTGTCTTTGCCTCAGTGACTCAAAAAAAGATCTTTTTTTGCTTTTTTCTTTTTTTTGGGTCTCTCAACAAGGACCCAACACCTTCCAGATTTTGTTCCTTTCTACTCCTGAATTAAGAGTTTGACTGAGAACCAGAAGCCAAGTCCCTCCGGTCATCGTGCACAATCATGAGGCTGCATATGAACTGGCAGTTAAAGCTCGCCAACTCCTCAACACGTCTCACATTCTTCCACCCGATCTCTTCTCACCTCTATTCTCAGAGTGGCTGGTTTGTTATGAAACTAATTTTTTTCTAGGCCAAGTTTCCTTTGAGCAGGGTGCAAAGGCATATGATCCTGTGGATTAGAAGTGGGTTGTCATCAAAACGATATAGCTCTGTTCTTCTCCGTTCCGTTCTTGGAATGGCTGAGAACAGACTTGCGAAGAGAAAAACTTGTTGGCGTTTGGGAGCTGCCA